TTTAGTAGAACAGGCGGAACTTATCTCCGTGTTTTTCGATGCCAGTTACTGGCATGCGATGTTTACGACATTCCCATGTCGAGCGGCAGGGTTGCCGCAAAGGTATTGCGCCAGCAGGAGAGCTGAGCAGAGTCGGCGTGAGGGTTGCCAGCTGAGTCCATCTGTTGCTCTTTCCTCCCCTCAAAAGAAAGAGCAATTAGCCTCAATCATGTTAAGATCTTCCTGGAGGTTTATTACCTGGGGCCATAGAAGCTCAATACTAGGGGCACAAGGATTTCAGGTTTTCCCTCTGATGGCCATGAGCAGGAGAGCAGAATGCTGGTGAATGCGATGCATGATGAAAGCCAACTTTTTCATCAGGAAGTCGCAGCGCTCGGCAGACTGGAGCATTCCAATATCGTGAAGTTTCTCGGCTCCGGAGCGACAGCTTCCGGCAGATTTGTCATCCTACAGGAGCCTCTTGGCGCGGAGTGACGAGAAGCTTTTGCTTTCATGGCTTTTCAAGGTCATCCGTGAAAAAAAGTTTAAGCGCGGAGACCGGGGGGGAGGAGGGCCCAAGGTTTGTGTCGCATGGGAGCCTTCTGCAAATGCTACCGGCTACCGGTAGAATCTATGGACTGGAGTGCGCCGGAGTGCGCGCCTCGATGCCTCTTCGCAGCTGGCGAGTGCCATCGCCTACATTCACAGCCGGGGCATCGTTCACCGAGACATAAAATCTGCGAATGCGCCCTGGCCACAAGATGCCGTGCCAGCGCAGGGTTCCATACGTGTCGGACATCAAGCTCACTGAGCCTCCGAAACCTCCGAACTACTTCAACCCCCACTGCCCCAAAAACACGCACACACACACATGTATACTTCTCCATTTTTATTCAACAGACTCAGACCCAGACACAGGTTCTGGTGGATTTTGATGCTGTTGGCCAGCTGGCTCTCAGACTTCGGGCTTGCGAAAGGAGTGCAAGAGAGAGCTGCGACATTCGCACACGCTGAGTTCACGAGTGGTCGGTACCAAAGGCTACCTCGACCCTGAGTGCCTTCGTGGTAACGGGGAGTCCACGCTGGAGAGCGATGTTTACAGCTTTGGCATTGTCGTGTTGGACCTTGTGGCTGGCCATGGATGTGGCCCAGATGCGAACCATTACAGAGGCAACTATCCTGCAACACTCCCAGTTCCCGCTCCTCTACACAGCATTACAGACCCCAAGAGCACACAGGGTCACACGCACACCATCTGATATGAAGTTGAGCTCCGTCCTCGCCATGGTCACGGGCCCCGCTGAAGGGGCCCAGCGCCTGGCCACACCTGCGCTGATCTGGCGGCGTGATGGGGTCCGTGGACTCCATTGGGAGGCGCCCTCGGCGCTCGCAGAAACGACAGCGGAGACGGCCTGCGTGGCGGGCGTTGCAGGTGTTGCCGGCGCGGAGGGCCCATCTGGCCCACCGGACACGGCAGTTGTTCTGGAATCTGTCTCCCCTTCCTCGTCATCTCAAAGTCGATTTCCTCATCCGGGCTGCCCCTGGCGCAGTCATCCATTGTGGCCGCCTCTTCTGGCCACAGAGCCGATGTGGGTTTGCCGAACAGCTGGACGTGTCGCAGCCTGGCAGCTTCTGATCACCAGGACCCAGGAAGACACTAGTAACTTGGGATAGCATCCATCCGAAACTCGCCAAGGTCAAAGCCAGGGCGAGTTCAAGTGTGACACGTGGAGACAGACCAGTTGAGACTGAAGTCTCAGAGTTGGAGTCGACGCACATAAAGAAAACAACTCAGAGTGCCCCCACCGACCTTGCCCTGCCCCCGACGTCTTGGCCTGGCAGACACTTACACGGCAACAGGGCGCGAAAACAGGACAACTCCCTGAAGGGAGCAATAAAACCTATGTGTGTCGAATTGGGAGAGCAAAAACAACCTACGCCAGCCAAAAGACAACCGGCCAACGGAGCTGCAAAACGACACAGCATAATGCAGCGCAGACCAAATGAGGAGACGGCAGGCTGCGGTGCTGGACATCGACCTCTGGCCAGAAATCATCCAGCTTGTACGTGGCACCCGGGGGCATGGCCGGGATGGAGCCCATGCGGAGCAAGCCTCTCCCATAGCACGAGAAGAGTCTGGCAGGGTCGTCGATAGAATCAACAGGCCTGGAGCAGCCACGCGGAGGAGATGTTACATGTTTCAGGCTGTTCCAGGCACAAGGGCTAAGTACAAGAGATGGTAAAGGGCATCGTAATATGCTTGGGGCCGCAGGGCTGAGCTTCATTCTTCTGGTGACATCCTCCACGACTTGCACCGGCATGGCATCGGTGAAATTTTGATCGAGAAGCTGGAAAACCCACGAATGGACCAGACGGGAGAATCTCCAAGAGTCACATAAACGAAGAGCAGACACAGCACATTTGAGCCAGTGAGGGGCCGAGATCAGCCGTATTGTCGGCAGGCCTCGCCCTTGGTGCACACAGGACCAACCAAGACATTCTGACCCTTCCGTCTTTCTGAATGAGGTCAGATCGACTGCATCAAGCAGATCTGCCGCATAGAGCGTTCCTGGACCGGCTGTAAGATTTGCATGGGGGACGCTTTGCTGCGCATCTCGTAGACGTCGCACGCTTTGCCCTCTCACCAATCTGCGAGCGGTGAGTCCCCCAGCCACGTGACTCTCCATCGGAGGCCGGCAGTGTGGTCCAGCCTGCACACCTCAAGGCCCAAGCAAGTGAAAACAAACAAGCAGAAGCAACAACAAACGACTCTCCGGACATCAAACTCCGAAAAAAATCCTGGGAACTTCCCGGAGACTGCCGTTTACAAAGGAGCATCCGCAATGGCCGGCAAGCCCTTGAGGGTCAGTAGTCCACCACGAGCGAAACTCCGAGCTATGGCTTTGGATTCGGTATCGTCCCAAGAAGTCACAAGCCTGGCAGTGATCCTGATCGTGTCGCGCCTGTGACGTTCGCTTCAGTTGCTCTATTAGTCCATGGAAGGGGAAGTGGCGAAGTACCTCTATGCGCTCTGCAGAAGGGTCGTTTACGATGAACACCGGTGTAAGCTCTGGCATTGGCAGCTCGAAGCAAGTCTTGGGTGACCACCTCGATGCTGCTTAAAGCATGTGCCTTCAGCGAAGCTTGAAGGGCTGAGTACTCGTGTTGCAGATCCAATCCTTTGGGATTTGGGTCCACCCGCACGAGCAGCCCGCGCACGCCAGGCAGATGTAGAAAGCCCACCACCGGGCCAACCTCTGTTTCGAAATCCTCTTCTACACCCATGCGAGCAACACTCGTCTTTTTCTCCTGGTCCACGCAAGTTTTACAGATCTGGTCTGCACCGCTGGGCCGCTTTCTGAAGGCATGGTTTCGGGGCAGACATAGAAGTGGGTGAGACCTACTGATACCCGGCGACACGCCGGGCTGAGTCAGCTGTGATTCCACAACTCTCAAGGCCCAGTGGCAATCCCAACAGTATTGAGTATCCTGGTCCCACACTTCCTCATCAGGATGATGGATGCAGTGATAGGCACTCAGCGTGGCACCACCCAGGAGGCTGTCTCCCTCGGCCTCCTCCGGTTCCTCCGGCTGTTGCAGCTCCGCCATCTGCGGCACCCGGTGCTGACTGGCACCTGATGACTGGCAACCTGAAGGAGGCCGAAACTGCGGGGAGATGGCATTGCCGCATGGCCCAGTTCTGTTCCGCAAGGCCCAACAGCCCTCTCATCGCTCTCCTCTCTCATACATGTCAATGAAACTGAGTGAAACAAACACAGAAGGCAAAAGACTTCAAGAGAGGGCTGTTAAAAGGTCATGTGAAGATCCTGCCTCGATAGCTGCTTCCGTCAGTGGAGTGGATCGTGGCAAAGCATGGCCTCTTGGAAGAAGGGGATCGCATTTTTTGGTAGAAGGAATCTGTGCGCAGAGTGTGGGCTTGTCCCTGATCCGGTACAATCCTTGTGTGCAGCAGATGAGGATTGTGGAGCGCAGTGTTCTTAATGAGCCGACTGCAGCGTTCACAATCTAGACCGCTAACAAACCCATGGTCTCTCCACCACCGAGCCAGACGAGGCGACGATGCTTGCAGCAATGAAAAATCCACAAAGCAGCCAAAACGGCCTGGCACTTCAGCTCTTAGGGTTACGGGAGCTACAAAGGCAAAGAGCCCCCAACAAAGGGCTACAAAAAGGTACCAGTGTGGCAAGAACCCTTCTATAACTTTAACAAAGTGCTGAACAACCGAGACTAGGATGGACCTAAAAACTATCTGAAAAGAATTCCTAAAACAATTTTTTCCCTTACGAACTTACACGCGCCAAAGTCGAAGCCGCAGGCATGCAGCAAGAGTCAAGTATTCCGTCAAAGCGGCCTAGCCACTGCTGACAATGCGAAACAATCCGAAACTATCCGAAGCCCCTGGTCGTCAGCTCCAGAAGTGCCGCAAGCCAAAGATCATTCTGACAACGACATCGGCATGCTTGATGGGGCGAAGAAGACAGGTGGTGCTCTCGATTGTTTCTGCGCTGCGCCCTCGTCTGGCTACCGATCTGCATGCAACAGACGCTCACCAGCTGCAACCTGGGGCTTAGGCCTCCTCGGGCTTCTCTCAAGATTCTCAAGTGACTTCAACTACTGCATCTGCTTTATAAAGCAGTTGAGGGCTCATGGGCTTATGAGGCCTATAGGGCTTACGGGGTTTAGGGTCGCTGACTGCAAAATGTTCCTTGGTCATTTATTTTTGGGCTGTCACAAGGTAGAGCCTAAGCCGTCTTGCATGGTGTGCGGGATAAAATGACCCGTTGAAAATGCCTCTGTCGGGGACTTTTGTTCCCAACGAGGCTAGAAGCAGGAAGGTACAAATCGAGAGCAGGGCGGATAGAGAGATAGGAGATAGGAGAGATAATTAAGTCATTGGACAACTTTGGCTGGGTAGTCACGTACCGTGTGTGGGAGGGGTGGGGATCTGGAGTCCCTTTCTTTTGGGAGAGTCTAGAAGAGTCTGCACCAGGTCCCGGTGTCTACCCAGCCTCCTGCAACGCTTGCTCCGCAATCTCGTGCAGGCTTCTGTTCTTGCTCATCTTCCTGGCATTCTCAGCCTTTGGATGCAGCATGGCCATAAACTCATCAAAGCTCACCTCGCCGTCACCGTTCACATCCTGAGGGCCCCCCGAACGCGCCCTTACTGGGCAGCACAAGTCTCAGTGTGGAGCGACGGTGTGGTGGATAAGAGCCCCCTAAACCCCAACAACAGCAAAGCCCCCCTCAATCCTTTTCTAAAGAGGGCCACCTCGCGGTCCCAGTCCCCGTCCCCCTCGGGTCGTTTAGGGCCTTTTATGGGCCTTTAGAAAGCCATACCTGCTTGTTGGAGACGTGTCTAGGATGGCTTAGATTTAGGGATCCCTCGTCAAGGGTCCATTTTGTCGAAGAAGAAGCGGGCATCCTCGCAGTCCGGAACCTGCGGCATCAGAAAGGTTAGGTTCTCTGGATGTCGGCCCTTTCCGGGGTACCCGGCTGTAACTGGCACAAAGAAAACACCATCCGGGCACCTCCGTAAGCAGCTCGTCGTCCTCGAGCACCTGCTGCAGCTCCGAGTAGGTAATCTTCCCGTCTCCGTCCTCCGGGCTCAGCCCAACGAGCCCCCGATCCCTGAGTCGAAGCAACTCGGAGGTCGAAAGGGGAGGGGAAAGGGAAACCAAGGGGTCCTTGTCGAAGGTTTTGAATGCACGCCAGCACGTCGTCTCGTTCCGCTGGAGCCTCTGGTCCATGGCTGCTGCCAGGAACTCCTCCCCGGCATCTCACAGTGGCCTAACTAGCTGGGGGATGAGGACATGCAGTGCGCATGTCTTCGGGTAGTCACATATGTCACATACTCCCTTGGTATGGGCCCCTTTCGAGAACCCCTTTTTCCCTTTCATACCAAATAAAACCCAAAAGCCCATACTTCAGAACCCTTTGAAGATCAGGGACCATATGAAGGGACCATGCAATCATGCGTATTTGTTTCCTCCTTTAGATGTGTGTGAAGTGCAGTAACCTGACTATGGATCAGACCTTGGGTTGAACTGCACGGCGAAACATGAAGGTGGGGCACTGCAAAATGACCTCCTTTAGAGCATGGGGATGGAGCTCCTATGAAACCCGAAACCTGTCAACCGTGCTGGCTCCGTGTACTCAATTCGGCCGTCGCCGTTGGAGTCCACCTCAGCGAGCGAATGCCGCGAACGCTCCTACACTTTAAAGCGGATCTCGCGTCAGCATATCAGAATACGGTGACATGGACACTGCTGTGGCAACTGCTCAGGGTTGCGCTCCCCAGTGTGATGACCCATGATGTATGGTTGCCATGGCAAAACGTATCGACAAGTATCGACAGAAGAAAACTTCTAAACAGTTCACAGGTCATCAGACGTTCTCCACATCCCTCTTTGCTTCCGGTTCTTTGCAGCTACCAGTAGCTCAGCCGCTTCCTGGAGAACGTGCTCCAGATCCGAGATCTCCAGTTGCTGCTGGAGCCCCTCCTTGATCTCCTGGGCTTGAAAGGACATCACCGAATCAGGTTCAGACCATACGTACAGAAAATGATATCGAACATGCTGGCACCATGTGGCACCACTACGTCCACATGTATCAAGATGACCCAGCCCCCCCCCCCCCCCCCCCCAGCCCCCCAGCCTCCAAGCTCAGAAAGCCGTCGCCGTTTGTGTCCAGCCTCACGGAGATGTCTTAACATCCTAACAAATCTTAGCAGGTATCGGCCACCGCCAAGAGGCAGTGGCAACGGGAGGTGCCGGAAGTACACACGGCACTGCTTTACTTGCTGGTGGGGTTGAGATGTGGACATGGGTGCATCAATGTCGTTTCCTGAACCAAAGGAAGGTGAACAGTACTTGTGGTTTCTGGCTTGCTGGCTGACGTTGGGGCATGGCATCCCGACACATGTTGTCCAAACAACTCCAGGGGGCACTGGTAAAGCCAGACCACAAGCAAGCCACACCCCGGAAGAGTCTGCTTAAGGTCTGCCAGGGGCTCGCAAGCCTCTAAGTTCCTAAACCCCTGATAGCTGGTGTGTCCAATGAGCGCGCCTCATGAAGATTTCGCGGAGTTCCTTCTGCTCCTCCTCGCTCAGCTGGTAAGCGACTGCCGTTAGTGCGGCCTGAAGCACATTGCATTCTCAACAGAACATAGCTCCGCCAAGATCAGCAACAAGAAACACACTCAACCCTAACCCCCCCCCAAACGAGGGCCGCAGCCTTTCGGAAGCGGTTCGCGCTGCTGAAGGACTGCCTGCCACTCTCTGCCAAACTACAAGGTTCAGGAGGCAGTCCCTGATGCCCTCTAGAGGTGTGCAGTGTCCGAATGTGCCCCAGGTGCAAATTTCGGAGGACGGATGCATCCAAGGGGGCTGCGTGAATGGCGTCCTCGAGGTGGAACCACCTAACACGATGAATCGAAAGACGAAGGCTTGCGGCACATTGGGCCTGACAGGGTTTAGGGTGTAGGCGGGTGTGGGGAACGAATGGAAGGGAGCATGTCTTCTTGAGCATTGATGAATTGCGTGAGTGGTGCATCGCCATGCTGAGCCAGGTTGCTCGTGGGCCAAAGCGTCTTGTGCCGTGATGCGCTTCTGCGGGTCCATGTCTAGGCACGCTTTGATGAGGCCTTTGGCCGTGGTGCTCACAGTCTTCCAGACGCCTCCTTCCATGCTGTACCTTGGGGACGAGGTCAACCCCAAAATTGGGGGGAGCGGGGGGGGGGGGGGGGGGGGGGGGGGGGAGGGCTGGTACATGGCACCGTATTTTAGTCCGCAAGGTACTGGCCCTTCTTCACCAACTTCAGGATGTCGCTGTCTTTGTCAGCATTGAAAGGAGGGGCGCCACAGAGCATGATGTACAGGATCACGCCGCTACTCCAAACATCTGCAGCTTCGGTGTAGGCCTGTGCCAGCACCTCGGGCGCTACGTAGTAGGCCGTACCCACGCGGGTCTTTAAGCAGCCCTCCTCTGGCACGGCTTTCGCGAGACCGAAGTCGATGAGCTTCAGCACCGTTTGGTCCAAGGCCGTATCCTTCCACTGGGATTCAGGACTGCCCAGCCAAAAACAACCACGACTTGTAGCCCTTAGCCCTGAGCCTGAATCTTACGAATTAAGATAAACTCTGGTGTGATAGGAGAGAGCCCTAAGAACGACGAACCTGTGGTCCAGGGAGTCAGGGAGGCCGCCCCTAAACACCGCAGCTATTTGATTGTGCTCACCCCCCAAAACGACCTTCGGTGGCATGTTTAAGATCTGAAGGCCAAAACGCCCGCAAAGCGGGGGCCAAGGGCTGGCTACCCCAGCCATTTCAGACTTGCATGACTGTGGATAATACCAGGTTTGAGGATGCGGTTCGGTTTCCGCGCTAGGGTCTACACAATCCACCAGAAGCAGGCCAGAACCTTAAGCCAGCAGCAGAGACTATGCAAGTCACGTTTTCTTATGTTTTCTTCGTGGTGCTGGGTGAGCTGCGCAGGGCCTGCGCGGGTGCACCCCTAAGCTCCCTAAACAAAGCTCCCTAAACTCCTCCCTCTTAAGGCTCCTTATCGTGGATCAGGTAGTTCTCGGGTTTCAGGTCGCGGTGGCAGATGCCCCGCCCGTGGCAGTACGCCACGGACGCGAAGACCTGCCTCATGCAGGTCTGGGCGCCCTTCTCCTGAGAAAAGAGAGACGATAACCGGAATGATAACAATGACGAGAATGATGACAGTAACAATGTCCAATGGGTTTCATGCCTTCTAGGGATCAGAGCAAACAAACCTCTGGAACGGAAAAAGCACACGGAACAGGTTGTTTAGAACGATTTGTTTCAGACGGCTTCTGTAGGAAGTCCCAAGTCTCGCCCAAAGAGTAGATGTCCGACAGTCGGTCGAAGAGCTCGCCACCCTCACAGAGCTCCATAACGAGGTAGAGGTGCCTAAAGCTGTCAAGTCTCGTCTGCCCAAGGCTAAAGTGTCGTTTTTGAGAGGCTTGGACTGGTGAGTCTGGCGTAAAGGCTAACCGTCCATCACTCCAAGATGCCTTGGGTCCTCGTACACTGCGTAGAGTCTTACAATGTTCGGGTGGTCCATGTCCCGAGCCAGGTCAATCTCGTTCTTCAGGGCCTCCATCTTTTGGACCCTGGACTTCAAGACGGACTTCACCGCCCTCACCGCGCCCGTCGCCCGGTTGGTGGCCCGAGTCACCACACTGAAGGCGCCGTCGCCCAGTTTGGCCTTCGCATCCAACTCGAAGCGTTCCTCGATATTCTGCTCGTACCTCAATGCTGTGAGACATAGCTTTGGCAGAACAGAAAACGATTTCGCATTCCTTCTGCAAGGAGCACAGAAGCAAATTCAAAAACAAACAAGAAACAAAACGATGAAAAGCCGGTATAACTCCACACAATTTTGGAAGCGATGCCCGTCGTGCATGTCAAGGATGAACCGCTGCCGCAGGTCTTTGTGGCCCTTGGGCGTCTTGCCGCCCCTGGAGGAGGTCGGCGACCTGACCGACGGCGTCGCCAAAGCGGAAGCCGGTGAAGGTGACGGGCGGTAGCCAGCGGTTGCCTCCCAGCAGTGAATCGATTTCTTGAATGAATCACAGCCTACAGGGCCTAAGCTGCATCAAGGATCGCACCTTGGGCGAAGGCAACACAGGAGGCTGCACAGGAGGTTGGACTGGAGGTTGGACTGGAGGTTGTGGAACTTGTGCAGGCAGCGTGGGCGATGGCTCGAAGCTGACGGCCGGGACACCAAACTTCCTGGCCACTTGACATGATCGAAACATCCGATATGCTCAGCTGAAACCCTAATTTCAAAGGGTTACGTGGGTTCTCAACCCCTCATCTAATCAAATCGGAGGCGTGTGGGGACCCGATCTGGACCGACCGAGCGTCATCGACACCTTCGAGGCAGGGGCCGCTGCAGGCCAGCTTCGGTTGCCCTCGAGGCCTTCCCACTCCTGAAGGGCACCCCTTTACCAAACATCGAATCACCCTTAGAAGGACACCCAAAGGAGGAAGACAACGAGCACCGCCTGACCTCTTGAATCTCTTGCGTTTTTGGGGGGTTCTCTTCACAGACATCGGCAAACATGGAACCTGGAAAATATGAAGCCGTATACTTAGAAGCTCGCAACAGGAATTGCGAAGGAGGCCCAAGGCTCCACCTGCCCGCCGCGTCCTTGGGTGAAAGGGCGGCCACTGAACCAGGAGCGGCATGATACTGTAAGCATAGGATACTGCGTTTGATGTTTTGAGGTCGAGCCTTCATGACCACATCGACACCACTCTGCAACCCAATATCACCATCTTTATATATATATATATACATATATGTATATATGTATATTATACATACATACATACATACATACATACATACATACATACATACATACATACGTACATAACACAAATGTTTATGTGTATATATATATATATATATTTATTTATTTTTTATCCATGTATTTATATTTACTTTTATTTTTTGTATTTATATTTATATTGATTTATTTATTTAGTCGTTTGTTGATTTAAATTTCTATTCATTCTGATATTTATACTTATATTTATACTTATACTTACATTTACATTTATATGTATATTTATACTTATATTCATACTTATTTGTTTGTTTATTAAATTAATTTTCTATTGATTATAACTTATTTATACATTCATCTATATACATATAAATGTTTATATTTATTTATTTATTTATACATTTGTTTATGTATATATTCATATCAACAAATTACAAGTAGATCTACTATGTCTGCTCTGCAAAAAACTATCACGTCTAAACACCTAAAAGTAAAAACCCGACGCATAAATGAATCCACTTTCTCTGCCATATCCCCAAAATGTTACGTTTGCGGAGGTTGGAAAAGAGAGCTGCCAACGCCTGATGTCCCTAGGAGCCCGTCAAACACCGCCGGCTCAGCGTCTAACATGGCCAAGCAACTTTGCCAACGTGAAGATACTCGAAAGACAAGTGACGCCGATGAGTCGACATTTAAAGAACCAAAATATAAAGCAACTTCAATAAGAACACATAGAAACAAGTCCTCCAAAGCGCTGTTGAAGCTGACGGCCGCTTTCTTGTGTTATGTTTTGCTGGCGGCAGAATTTGCATAATTTATTGAAGCGATTTTAGAAATTATTTCTGTACATCATTTTGTATATATATATATAAAGGAGAAAGGAGGCAACATAGTACATAAAGGTCCCTTTCTCTCTCGTATATGTGTATATGTATATACATATATATATATAAGATTATATATATATATATGTATATATACAACTTTTAACATGATTTTCTTTATTTTTACATATGCACGCATGTGTATACATACATATATGGCATCGAGATATGAGGCATGTCCAAAATTTAGTACAAACACAACCATATGGCCCGAACTCCGAAAGTGCCCCAAAGCGACTCCGGATGATGAGCTTGCACTCCGTGCCCTGCGGAAGCGTCAGCTCCTTCGCCCAGCGGGGCCAAAGCCCGGGTCCTCTTTGGAATGTTTGCTTTTTGTTTGTTTTGTGGAGGAGGGCAGCCGGAGACTTTTGGGGCGTCTGATACGGCTCTCTCCCATCATTCTGATGATGCTTTTCTCTCACAAAAGATCTCTCGATCGCCAGCAAAGCACCTGAAGAAGAACCGAACCCTTTCCCACCAGCTCAAAGCCGTGTCACGGCCCGCGCCTGTATTGAGCCGCAGCGCGCGGCCCGTATCCCAGCTGCCCAATGTGGGTGAGGCACCCACAAGGCAGACGTCATCGCCGTCCTGCCTTAGAAGACAGAAAAGCAACCATAGAGAAGGACTGCAGTCGCCTCGCTGCTCTAAGGAAAGGATCATTATACCACAAGCTCAGTTAACTCGGGCATCCTAATGATGCAACTTCTTTGTAGAGGCACTCCTTGGCTCAACATGCCCAAGCAGCGTAGGGAACAACAGCTGCTGTATGCGAGCATATGGACACTAGATACTCTAGATGTGCTTGTCCGGGTGCGTTAATGCACACTCTACCTCCAACATCGCCGTGGCGTGGCCAGGAGGCAGCGGCCAGGAAAACTGAAAAAGCGTCGATACTTGCCAGTGTCACTTGGATCCCTCGTGCATGTCAACAAGCTCTGATATCGGGATCTACAAATGTGGATCTTGCTAATCGGCTAAGTGGCTGCCTAGTTTATGCTGCAGAGAGTGCACCATGACGTGGGATAAGCTTGGGAACGTCAGCTGCGGCTTTGGAATCAGCACGTTACAAGGCATCTTCCTGGCTGTATTCAGCCATGCAAAGTTTGGTACTTCTCCTGGGGTACCCCACTTGCTTGTGACCCAAAAAAAATGCCTCATCTGTATCTGTGACCCAACAGCGCTCGCTTGTGATCTGAACATGTTGGCGTTTAGGGCTTAGGCCTTCGGTTTTCGGTTCAAGCTTTAGCGTTTAGGGCTGCTTAGGGTTTGGCGCTTACGGTTTAGGGTTGAGGGTTTTGGGCTTCTGGTTTCGGGTTTGGGGCAAAGGGTAGGGTTTCGGTTTTCGGTTCAGGCTTTAGAGTTTAGTTTAGGGCTTACGGCCTAGGGTCTGGGGGTGTGGTTGAGGGCTTGGGGCTTAGGGTTTTGTTCAGGCTTTAGGGTTTAGGGCTTAGGGTTTAGGGTTTGGGGTGTAGGGTTGAGGGCTTAGGGTCTAGGGTCTAGGGCTTGGGGTTTAGGGTTTAGGGTTTTACGGTTTAGGGTTCAGGCCTTAGGGTAGGGCTTAGGGTTTAGGGTTTCGGGCTTGGGGTTCAGGGTTTGGGGTTTCTTTAGGGCTTAGGGCTTACGGTTCAGGGTCTGGGGTTTAGGGTTGAGGGCTTCAGGTTTAGGGTGTAATTCAAGATTTAGGGTTTAGGATGGTTTGGGGCTTAGGGTTGAGGGTTTGGGGTTTACGTTGAGGGCTTAGGGTCTAGGGCTTAGCGTTCAAGGTTCAGGGTTTTACGGCTTAGGGTTCAGGCCTTAGGGTTTAGAGTGAGGGGCAGGCCTTAGGGTTTAGGGCTTAGGTTTAGGGTTAGGGGTTTGGGGTTGAGGGCTTAGGGGCCGGGGTTCGGGGCTTGGGGTTCAGAGTTTGGGGTTTGGGGGTTGGGGTTTGGGGTTTGGGGTTTTGGGTTTGGGGTTTGGGGCTTGGGGCTTTGGGTTTAGGCCTTCGGGTTCAGGGCTCTGAACCTGGGACTACCGTCCTCCTCAAGTTTGAAGCGAGAGTCTTTCTAACTACAGCTCACATGCTGGTACTCCTAGCCTTCGGAAGCCTGCACTTCGTTTTGTCCTCGAATCGAAGCCCAGCTTTAAAAAGTCCAGAGCTTGACAAGCTCTACAAACCCAGGTGGAAGGGCAGGAGGATGCCAGCATGCTGGCTCATCCACTTCACAATGAACTGGAACGCCTGGCGACAGAAGGTCGTTAATAGGGGCCATGGGGCTGGTTGTTGGGCCTATTTCACCGTGTCGCCATTCTGGTGGTGAGTAACTCCACAATCACATCACCAGACGATGTCTTCGAACTCATGCGATCGCACTTGGTCCTTTGCAGCCCCCTCGACCCAACACACCCCCCACATAGGAACCTCACATATCTTTACAAAGCAAAACTTGCAAGAATATACGGCCCTTAAGTTACTATACCTTAGCGGCACCATAAATACAATCCTTAACCCACAACATGGACTCCATTGTGGCTGCCCTTGACCTCAGCATCGTCAACTCCGGATCCTTGGGAAAGACTCTTCCTCGTGTTTTCTTTCCTATCTTCTTCATAGTTCATGCTCATGCAAGTCCCCAAAACCACCCCTGAACCCCCAACTCTGATTTGGGACTCCAAAGGAAACGCCACTTCACCCCAGCCTCGCCAAGTGCTTCCTCGGCGTCTTTCTCGAAGGTCCAGCGCCGGACCATGTCCCTGGAGAGATTTACCTATAGCCAGCTACCAATTCAAGCTTGCAAGTTCTTAGACTTCTTTGTTAGGGCAGGGGTGAGAAGAGAAATGAAGGGCCGGTTGCATCAGCGCATGTTGCGCACAGGCCTGGATGTGCGGAGGCAGAAAAATTTCTCTTTGAACTCTCTTGTTGTATTCATCTTGGAATTTTGTTTTCACGGTTTGGCTCTTATCCCGTAAACTTGTCTCGATCTTCTGGTCGGACAACCTCTATTTTCTCATTGCGTTGTAGTCGGAAAACCTCTACTCTACTTTCTGTGTTTCTTAATAGGAAAATCTCTGCTTTAGCAGGAAAATCTCTATTTTCTCTCGAAAATCTCTTGCACATTCTCTACATTTGATTAGGAAGTTCCTATCTCCTCTACATACATAGACAGACAGAGACACAAAGGAAAGACCAAAACAAAACTTAACGCTGGGATGATGGGATTCGTGCGTTTAAAACACAAGTCCTCTTCATGGGCCACTGCTGTTTACAAGCCAAGTTCACATGGGCTAAAAACGCACAAAGAATTAGGTAGGAGGAGGCGTAGCTCTGTATAAAGCAAGTTTGCACTTAGGAATATGCCAGAAGCAGAGGGGGCGGGCCTTACTTCCTTCCATCCTTCCATCCTTCCTTCCTTCTTTCTTCCTTCCCTCCTTCTGCTAAAAACTGGTGGTCTGCCTACGAAAACCAGCAAAAGAGCTGATCCTAACGACATGATTAAAAAAAGTTTCCGAGTAAATATTTACAAAGGTTATCCTATGAGAATTTTGTGTTGCGTGAGATGCTTTGTCTGGGACGGTACAAGGGTTGACGGGACCAGGGGTGCCCGAGTTCAGGCAGCTGAGCTGTAGAGAAATGGCGGTTTCCGATGATGCTTTTCATAGAGGCTTTCCGATTGAAAGATAGAGAACATAAAGGTTTTCCGATTAGAGTATAAATAAAAAAGAGGTTTTCCGATGAAAGTGCGAAGAAAACAGAGGTTTTCCGATGACAAAACATAGAGACAATGGAGGTTTCCGACTAGAAGATAGAGAAAATAAAGGTTCTCCTATGGAATTATAGAGAATTAGCTTACGGGATAAGAGCCAAACCCTAAAAAAGCAAATCCCAAAAAACGACTTCCCGACATCGCAGAGAATTCAACAATTCTTCCAGACACACCCGAATCTCGACGACATGTGCAAGCGCAATCCAGAATGGGAGAAGTGGACCGCTTAGGCAGTGTTACCATCCCATACCTCTCAGAACGGAGTGCCTAAGTTACGTTAAACCTAAACCCTGAACATTCTCTTAGCTGAAGTGGCCTGGGGAAGCTATGGATGTCGGCCCAGCTACGCGCATAGGCATGGAACTCGTCCAGAGCCTCCGATCGCACTTCTGGCGTTCTGCCATGTTCTAACCCTGAAGTTGCAGAATCCGGGTTCTGCCTTGATGCCCAGCAGCTCTGCCAGGTCGGCGCGGAGAAAGATCGCATCCTGGAAAAGAGGCGACTTGCGCTCTATGCAGTTGCACAAAGCCTCCGGGGCGTGCACGGGGCTCACCACCTCCCAGAGCACATAGATGGGCCACAGACTTCGCACCTTTGGAAAGGGCAGAGTGAGCAGAGCGTGAGCAGAGCGTGAGCAGAGCGTGAGCAGAACTTCACGAGGGTTCTGGGCACTAGGTTGAATTCAAGAATGTCAAGAAACTCAAAGATGGCTTCCATGATTGTTGAAATCGAGAATGTCGAGAAGCTTAAGGATGTCTTCCATGATTTGATCTGCGGTGCGTGGTCCACATGTACCGAGTCGCAAAGTAAGACAGCGATGTCCCGGCCACTGGGGATTGGATACGGAGCCGAATCTCCTCAAGAGGAGACACATGGAGACCCACTCGTGACTCTTCCACTACAGCAGAGAGCTTGCAAGGGCCAATCAAACTCTCATGCACACTGCACCAGAAACATCCAAGCGTCCGGGACACAAGGAAAGTGTGACGTTAACATCTTTGCTCAGACTCGCAAGGCACATTAAGCACTTAAACCCTAAAAGCCAAAGAACGTGAAAGCAAGAAGAGAGTCGCTTTGGCCTTCGCCCTGTCACCCCTGATCTGGCCTCGGCCCGGAAGATGGCGCCCTGCACCTCAATGCAAAAAGAAGTAGGCTTCGACTACTATGGCTAGTCTTTCTGCTTGCGTCTTTTCATCAGCATCTCAATCTCTTGGGCACACGGGGCTGTTTTTCACAGCTCTCTGGGGCGCGGTGTTCCTTGGGGGCTGCCAGGGCAGTGCACCTCTTGAAGGAGGGACCGACTTCGCTTCACGACCATGGAAAGATGGCGCAACTTAACTGCTGAGTTGTTGTTTACTTGGTTTACTGTACACTGTATTCCTCTGTTACATGCGAAAGGAATTTGTGCCGTTTTGAACAGCGGCCTCCACGATCGGCAAGTGTTCGCGCAGCAGCGGCGAGTCCAAGAGCGAGTACCGCAAGGGGGGCGGGAAGCCAGCATTCACCTGGCCACTGCTTGAATTCTATGGACGGCAGGTTCCGCAAGCTTAGGTCCCTTTTGGGTATGTAGGGTCTTGAGGGTTTAGGGCATGAAGTTTAGGGTTTAAGTCCACGGCAATTCGCGTGATGGAGTGCGTTCAACACCTCTTGGCTCAGAAGGGGAGAGGTGGCTTAGCACTGCGTGTGAAGTCTATTCCAAAACCCTCGTCGACTTTGGGAGAGCGAACACATTCTGTTTAAGGCCGTCATGCGGCGCCTTATTGAACAAGTGCTCTAGTGGTACTCAAATCGGGACCATAACTCAGAGAACTTCCCAAGAAGCAATTGTCATAAAGCTCTGAAACAAGAAATCCTCCTTGGGAGGACCGACTGCATCGCTGAATAGTTTTCGTGCAGTGAACCAGTCTATGATCAGCATCAGAACGAGCTAGAACCCTAAAAGACCTTCCTTCACGAAAAGCGAAATCCAGGAATACGCCGCAAACAACCCTTCAGCCCTTCAGCGGCACCTCGACCTGCACCACCTTCGGGCGCCAGCCCAGACGGTGGATGCACTCGTCCACGATCCTTTGCTTCTTGGCTTCGCTTCTACGAGGGCAGAGGAAGAGAGGAAGGGAGGAGAGCACTACTAGAGTACTACCCGAAAAGCAGTCTCGAAGGAGGGCAGGTCTTGGGGGGATTAGGGCATGCTCGGGCCCTAGCACATCAGGAGCAAACATGAAGGGGCTGTTGATGCGCAATTCTTGGGGTGAACCATTGCCATAAGAGCTCCCCTCAAGCTGAGGAGAACCGCCACATCTTAACCGTCGGCGAGCGCAAAGAATTCAAAGGACCGCCCCCCATTGAATCCCAAGTTAAGGGCATTAAGGGCGGGAGGTTCGGGGATGCCATCGGGCGATGGGAATGTGCTAATGCGCTTAGGCTCAGGCCATCATAAGAGTCGATGTCCACTTTCAGCACATCAAGACTGAGGGGCTTGGAGGCGAATCAGAACGCGAAGGCCCCCCCTAAAATCAGTTTCTTACATGGCTTTTTGGACTGGGTAGTACGGGTTCACAGTAGAACTTCAAGGAGATGTACCACGACGTGTGTTTTGCTTTAAGGAAACACACACACACACACCCCGTCTTACTGGTCCACCACAGACACATGATGCACAAAGTTATCGGTTGGCTAATCCAAGGAATAGTTCCAACACAACGCCTTGGCATTGGGTAGCTGAGCCGTTAATCTTCAGATTTAAATTCTATCTGCAGCTTTGAGCTTTTCACTTAAACAAGTACACCTCAAACTAACACATCTTGTTGCTCCAAGCAAGGATAACTGTCAACCTATCGACAGTTAGAAGAGGTCATAGAACTGCACATCATGACGCAATGGTGTTTACACCAATAACTAGTGTAAGGAGGTGGGCATCACAACCCTTCAAACCCTGGACGCAGCTAGTCTGTTCCGATGGGACAAAAGACTACAAAGTGCAATAAGCTGTGGCGCCTTTGGCGCCTTTGACAACTGTAACGTGTCTGCCGCACTAAAAAACACGAATACCCATCAGTGCACTGCTTCATTCATACTCAACTTTCAGCTTCATAGACTCATTCGCACGAGACATGCAACTCACGATTCCACCATGTTGGTCTACTTTGATCTAACAAGTGTTATTGCAGCTACAGGCATACCTACAAAGGCAGGAATACGGGAAACTCGTTCTTCAGCTTGACACGCTTTGCACTTTGAAGTAGAGCTATGGAAGTAGATGCAATGAGAGGTATGGAGGTGGACGTATGAGCTTGACATTGAACTCAACTAGATGTTCAAAATAGCAAAATGCCAAAGGGATACCCAAATATGGATCCTAATGTTGGGAGCCTCGGGCCTCCGCCAGGTCAGCCGCCCCAGCAAAGCCTTCAGCGTGGCCGGCACCGCGAAGCCACAGTGGAGTGTCACCCAAGGCAGGTTCTTCCGGTGCTGCGCCTTTGCTTTTGGAAAACTACGGGGGAGTGTTGAGGGTTTAAACGGGAGCCTCTGACTCTGAAGGGCCGATAAGTTGAAGCGTCTCAGCAACTTGTGCTCATACCCAAGGCCATTCGATCTCATTAAGACACGTCCGAGGGGCACAGAACCCTTCATCTGCCTCAATGGCGACTGCTGTGCCACTCTCCTGAAACGATGCTGCGAGAATTGCTTCGTCCTGCTTTCTATTCTTGGCCCAGCGCACCGCAGTCTCATCTATGTGAGCAGGCAGAAAGGAACATGCATGAGAACAGCATCCGAAGAGGCTTCTTCTCTGGGCGAGGGCACGGTGATCCCGAAACATGCAAACTCCTTCACGAGCCTGCTCTGGGCAAAGTGGCTCAAAGGATCGTCGGCGATCCCTTCGTTAGCCTTGGACATCTTGGGTTGAGATTCTTCTGAGACTCCCATAGACGAAGCGCCGGCTCATTGCAGTTCAATGCGGTCGCAGCCAAGGAGCTCCGATGTTTACAAAGCTGCCCTCCAAAGCCACACCAGCAGCCACAAGCTGCTCAAGGAAGACGCTGATGTTCGTTCCCAGTTGCCTCCACTGGAACTTTTCGGGGCCTTCTTGAGGAAGGGAAAGGGTGTCGTTTCGATACATCTCTGCAAAAGACTGGCAAACAAACGGACCTCGAGGCCGTCCCCGTGCGGGGTGCGGCGGGCCGCCGGCCCAGGCGGAAGCGTCGGGCCTTCCTGCGCGTTCCATCAGGCTTGGGTGGGCTTGGGAGGGCTTGGGTGGGCTTGGGAAGATGGGAGGAAAACTGTGCCTCCCAGCTAGCCTTAGAGTGCAACTAAGTTCAAAGGTCCTTCGAAATCCTGCCTCTCCACGTCAAAACCCCTGCTACAGCCTCTGCTCCACACCACGCCGTAGGCTGCGGTTCGCATTGAAGAGGGCCAAACTGCGGGCGATGTCCTTGCGGATAGCGGGGGGAGGTTCCCCCTCATGTGCCCTTGGCGGGCCAGTGGGGAATATCTTGAGGCGGCAGCTCACATTACACAAGCGAAGGACGAGGAGCCGTTTGGACCCATAAACCTCGAAGTTCCACTCTCCCAAAACAAGCACTCATCGTCCCCTGGGCGTTTTTGTTTAGCCTGCTGCGTGAAGCTGCTTCAAAGGCATTGCATATTGTTGCAGGTGTGAAAGCGGGGCTTGGCCTATCCAGGAATGGACTCAACAGGTTTGCGAAGTTTCGGGATCCTTCTCTGAAGCCATAAAAAAGAACACAAAGGCGCTCCTTCCGAATCTCCTCTCTTCAAATCACAGCAACAGGAGCAGGTCCTCCACATTCTCTGCCCAAGGACTCGACAAAGAAAAGATCCGCCCTGGCAGTGCTGTCAGAAAGCTAAGGAAAGCACAGGCAAGCTGTACAAACAATCCCCTCACCTGGCTGCACGCGGCTGCACGACCAAACATTGCACTTTTGGTGCTGGTCTGGACACGTCCGCTAGATCGCTAGTGTCGGCTTCGGTGTCTGATTTCTCTTGTTGTGCCCAGCCTGAGTTTCTGCCATAATCTGCGGTTCCGGAAGCCCCTCATTCGTGCAGACAGATACTTCATCTCCCCCCGTGTCTAAGATTGTAAGATTCCCCGCCCCGGCAGAGAGGCAGCCATCCACAGAGAGAGAGAAAGAAAGAGAAAAAAAAGAGAAAAAAAAAAAAAAAAGAGAAAGAGCACAGGCTGGTGATCCAAGGCGATAGTCGTCTCAGCATGAGAGGAGAAAACTCCATCAAGGTCAGGGAGGCGAAAGCGAGTGACTGGGCCGAGCCGAAACAAACTGTTCCTGTTTGCCGGTCCGCCAGACATGGCCTAGCGCCTTGCCGAGGAGCAGCCTTCTTTGCCCTGGCGTGTGCTGCCAAGATCAGCCGTGCAAAATGGCCAACGAGTTATCGAATCGAGCGAGTGTCACATGCGAATTATTGGATGTCGCATCGTGTGTCTGGAAAATGCATGTGGCGTTGGCATCGTTGGCATATCCCACGCAGGTTGGGTCCGGCTCGCATATGTCCTGTTGTCATAGCCACGGCCTATGATTCTAGGACATTCAGGTGCGACATCCGTCACTTGCTTCTTGACTTCTTCTCGCTTGCAAATTGCTTGGCCCTCACGAAAAAGAACCTCAAGCAGGACTTCGGCTTGCAGGGAAAGACAGAAGCAGCCGACTATCACTGAACTTTTTGATGCAGTGAACTTTTTGATGCCCGGTCTTCACGACCTCGAAAACCTCATTGCCAGGCCGTGCAGAAGAAAGAGCAGGCCATGGACTTCTCGAAGCGTCAAAGCTTCTGGGCATGGATTTGCAGCATGTCTCTACATGGGCAACATGTGGCCCGAGACGTTGTGTTCGGATTTGAATTGCTGGCCCTGATGGAATACGTACCACCAAAGGAATTTGAGGGTCCGTCAAAGAGCAATCAGAGCACAACATGGAGCCCCCCCAAAGACGGCGGGTGCACCTGAGGAGTCCCGGTACGCCTCCGGGTGCACCTGGCGAAGAATGGGTTTCGAGAGGACTCGCCCTTGCGCCGTAGAACAACCGCTCGTGTTTTTGCCGCTGCAAAGGGTGTCAGCTGGTGTCACAGCCGAGTCGCATATCCTTCGAAGCGGTAGTCTGACAGTGGTGCTGGCCCAAGGGTCCTATGGAAGGTAGCGCCGAGAATGTCTGCCATTAAGAGTCTTTTCGGAGTTATGTTTGACAATTTTACCGCTTCTCCGGTCAAAGAAGCCCTCTCCTGTTTCCATTCACGAAGAGTTCCACCTCAGGGATACGTTGGAAAGCAACACAGCTCAGCAGCCCTCTGAGCACCATGCTTTTGATTGTCTGCTGGGCTTCGCCTGGTGAGTCTCAAGACATGGAACGCAACACCTGTTGCATGTGGATCGGCGTAGCAAAGAAGTTCTGGCTCACTTTCTTCATGAATCCGCTACGTCTACGTCTAGGAACCTACAGGGATATCCGGGATATCTGCGGCCCCAGCCTGTACCCCACGGCCAGTGTAGGCAGCAGGCATGGAAGTGTTGGAGGTTGCACATGCAAATTGCTCTGCTATGCCTCAACTGAAACATTGCTCCGAGCCTCTACGAACGTCAACTAGCCAAGCTGCGTCTGGCTGTACCTAGACTCTACAAACTCTGGTTGGGTTGCAAGTCGGCAGCTTGAGAGACGGATTCGCATGTCAGAACCAAGTCTCACATGCGCATGACAACTTTACTCACTAGCCACCGTACATCTGGGCGGGACCTGAGCTTCGGGAACGACATTTCCTCACATTGAAAATGGGTGCGTCGGCTAAGAATCTTAGCCTGAAATGGCTGCCGGACACTAAGCGTCGGCAGGGGATTGGTTTTTGGGTGAAACCTGCGGATTCTCAGCACTGGGAGCTTCCGATGCAAATGGACTCAGGTGTCGAGCGAATGCGAAAAGCCCGCCATCGTCCCCTACGGCTGCTCTGAGGCTCTTCCTCCTTGCGAAGCCGCCCTCAACCTTGGGGGAAGGGTCTCATATGGTCTCATATGGTCTCATCCTGCCGCTTCTTCCGTTTCTTTTCTCGCTTCTTAAAATCTTAAATACCAAAAAAAAAGTTGGAAATCACACCAAGTGTCCGGTGACTCTGGGGCTGACCCTGGAAGCTCCATCATGGAAATCTGGCGATTGATGTTCATGTACATGCTTCGGAATGCCTCGGGGTGCAGCATCTTCTTGCCGCCCTTCTGCTTCCGGCGGGGTTTAAACACGCCCAGTTCCTCACTTCCAACTCCCGGATTGGGCCTGGTGGCACGGCTTTCAGCCAGCAACAAGTCCAACTTGGCCTCAAGCCTGGAAACGGACGACTCGAGCATTGCCTCGAGGACGGTGTTCCTTTGCTGCACATGCTTCTCTGCAGATGCTGGCTCGAGGAACTCCGCATGATGCGAGGAGGGCGGCTGATGGACTTCAACACTTGGGAACTCCTTCGGCGTTTCCAGCTTGCCTTGTGACACTGGTCTCGCCAGGCTGTGGGACCCCGATAAAGAATCCTGGGCATGCGTGCCTCTTAAGAAACCGTGGATTCCAAACATGCTCTTCTTTTGCGAAAAAGGCGGAAAAGGGGTAAGGAAGAAAGGGGGAAGCTTTTGTGGGATTGCTTGGGGCTGTGGATGCCTGGTCTAGCCAAGCTACAGCTCGGCACTCGTGCAGATCCTCCGTGGCAGCTTGGGAAGGTGCCGAGGACGACCTGGAAACTGCTCCGCTGCCATCGTCGCTTCTCGGCTCGTCTGGCGAACCTGGCGCATGGGCTCCAGCGATGAGGCCGTGCCTCATCCCATGAACCTGAGACGTCAAATCCTCAATCCGCGCAGCCATCTGCTGAAAGCACTCCACGGAGAGATCGTACAACTCCTCTTGGAGATGCATCGTCTGGATCATGTTGTACTTAATGAAGCGTGGAGCTGTCTTGGAATCATGCGCCCATCGGCTCAGTGGCCCAATAAACTCTGCCACCTCAATGGTGCCGCTCTGATCCATGTCAATCATGTGGAAGAGCTGCTCCAAGTCTTGCTCATCGATGTCCTTTTACACTCCGAACTCGAAGTGGAACAGTGTAACTTTCGTATAAGACGTTCTGAGAACCATGTCTGGTCACAAATCAAGCAGTTGCGATGATAAGCTACTGATCTCTCTTCTTTTGTGAGAGATACACGTACAAAACACATGAGCAGTGCATCCAAACAAGATGTTTGCCGCCATTGCAGCCGAGCATCCATGACCCGCAGCCGACTTTGAAACCCCGCATCGTGGCGAGCTCCTTCTATTAGTTCCTGCAAGGTTAACTGTCCACTCCCGTCCTTGTCGATTCTTGTAAAAAGCTTCCCCAAGGCCTTTCCTTGGGTTTGGCGATTGAGGAATAAAGGCCAATAAGAAAAGCTATCAAACCACATCAAAGACACAGGGGTATGGCAAGAACGGCCCCCCCTTCACAGAAAAAGCGTCGGTCATGCTCTATCTCATCTTCCATCTCCTCGGCCAGATTTTGGACGTCGTTGAGCCGTGCATCCGCGAAGGTGTCGACCACCACGGCAACCTTGGCAGCACTTGGTTTTTGTGTTGAATCAGCCTCGCCGCACAAATCAAACAACTCCGCCGGGCCGGTTCGTACGTGAGATTCTGGAGAAGTTGACGACTAACAGTAACGCTCATTCTCGAGCGTTGAAGATCTTCAGCGGGTTGCGATGTTTTTTTCGTCCGGGTCCCCGATCATTGTGTAGTCACATTTAACGGAAACCCAGACAAAAGGAGGAGCGAGCGACTGCTTGTGCTGTCATTTCGAAAGCGATTAAGGCGAAAAGATCTCAATCTTTGTTTCAGTAGGCCTGAGGTGTCTATGTCTCCCACCGTCCCGTCTCTTATTTCTAGTGCCTCTGTTGTTCTCCATGTTCCTGTTCCTCTTCCTCTTCCCCTTCCCATTCCTCTTCCACTTCCTCTTCCCTCTTCCCTCTTCCCTCTTCCCTCTTCCCTCTTCCCTCTTCCCTCTTCCCTCTTCCCTCTTCCCTCTTCCCTCTTCCCTCTTCCCTCTCTTCCCTCTTCCCTCTTCCCTCTTCCCTCTTCCCTCTTCCCTCTTCCCTCTTCCCTCTTCCCTCTTCCCTCTTCCCTCTTCCCTCTTCCCTCTTCCCTCTTCCCTCTTCCCTCTTCCCTCTTCCCTCTTCCCTCTTCCCTCTTCCCTCTTCCCTCTTCCCTCCTTCCCCTTCCCTCTTCCCTCTTCCCTCTTCCTCTTCCCTCTTCCCTCTTCCCTCTTCCCTCTTCCCTCTTCCCTCTTCCCTCTTCCCTCTTCCCTCTTCCCTCTTCCCTCTTCCCTCTTCCCTCTTCCCTCTTCCCTCTTCCCTCTTCCCTCTTCCCTCTTCCCTCTTCCCTCTTCCCTCTTCCCTCTTCCCCCTTCCCTTCCCTCCTCTTTCCCTTTCCCTCTCTTCCTCTTCCTCTTCCTCTTTCTTCCTCTTCCTCTTCCTCTTCCTCTTCCTCTTCCTCTTCCTCTTCCTCTTCCTCTTCCTCTTCCTCTTCCTCTTCCCCTCTTCCTCTTCCTCTTCCTCTTCCTCTTCCTCTTCCTCTTCCTCTTCCTCTTCCTCTTCCTCTTCCTCTTCCTCTTCCTCTTCCTCTTCCTCTTCCTCTTCCTCTTCCTCTTCCTCTTCCTCTTCCTCTTCCTCCTCTTCCTCTTCCTCTTCCTCTTCCTCTTCCTCTTCCTCTTCCTCTTCCTCTTCCTCTTCCTCTTCCTCTTCCTCTTCCTCTTCCTCTTCCTCTTCCTCTTCCTCTTCCTCTTCCTCTTCCTCTTCCTCTTCCTCCTCCCCCTCCTCCACCTCCTCGTCCTCCACTTCCTCTTCCTCTTGCAGTCATTAGATAAACAGATAGAGAGAGAAAGAGAAAGGTGGGTGAGTGGGTGGGTGGGTGAGTGAGTGAATACTACCTGTCCAGTGCCTCGGCTTAAAAGAAAGCCAAACACAACAAGAGAGGGACATGGAGAGAAGAGAACCCGAGAGAGAGAGAGAGAGAAAAAAAAAAGAGAGCGAGAGAGAATGAGCAAGAGAGTGAACGAGCACGAGGAGAAAAGGCAAAGGCTCGAGCTTTCTCTCTCTCTCTCTCTGTCTTTTTGCTCTCTTCTCCTCCTCCTTCTTCTCCGGCTTCTTCTTCGCAGAGGGCCGGGTAAGGGAGCACCCCCCCCCCCCGCAACCTCCCGCTCTACCGGGATGCACTTCCTCCAAGCAAGGACATGCACTTCCGAAGGGATGAGAATTCCACACACAACTCACAAGCTCTCAAACTTTCTCCCTTTGAGACCTTAAGACTCTCCATGCTTTTGAAATTCTCCAACTCAAGCAGCAATGAGGTTCAAGACTCCGAAAACGAGTGTCAGCGAAGAGCCGATGAAAATCACTCCAGTTGCTGGGTGTTCCTTCGGGTTTTGCACGGGCTGCGAATGATGAAGCAAAGGCGGTTTTGGGGCTGTTTGGCATTTGGAAACCCCTGCTCCTGGATCACTGGCACAGCAATCTCGCCCCAGCTATCTCCTGCAATGACGGTCTTGAAGAGCAACAAGTTTGCATACATCACCTGAGGCACAAAAACTCGGTGAGCTCAGTTTCAGCAATTAGGGCACTCCAGTACACGCGGCCAACGGTTAACAACCGCCACTACTAACATAAAAAAACCCTCAACATATCCCGAGGCCATCCAAGCAATTAAAGCGTATGGGGTATGTGCCCTTAGAGAACTGGATTTGCAAGGCCAAGGAGCGGAAGAGACTGCCCGTGTGCATTGAGGATGACAGTCGCCGAAGAATCCTTGATCTTGGTGCATCTCCCTCACATGCGGATTGACAACTTCCACCATAAGCATAGCCCAAACCGTCATCACAACGAAGCACAGCAGGAAAGACCACAGCAATGCCCTGAAGCACGTGGCCATCATCATGACAAGCTTATGCAACTCTCGCAGGGGTCGGATCCGCTTCCTGGGTTCTCCACGAAAAAACGCCCACTGACACGCTGAGAAGGAAAAGAACAGAATCGAAATGGTCTTGAAAAGGATGCTGAAAACGAGAGTATGGCAAAGTTTCAACAAGCGCATGAGCCTAAAAATCCTCACCAGGCGCAGGGCTCGCAACACTGCGGTGCGGAAACCGAGGGCTCCGTCGGCGAAAGAAGCAATGATTTTTTCTGTCCAGCCACAACCGACTATGACGATGTCGAGGATCATCATCCCATCACTCAAGAAAAGTCTCCAGCCAAATGCAAAAAGTATCGCAGCAACCTCAAGGCTATATGTCACAAGGCAGAAATCTGAGATGACCGCGAAGAACTGCGGTGGATCCGTACCGGCAGCAGTTGCATCAATGTCTACACACGTGCAGTATGCATCAATTAGAACGATGGCAGCCATAAAGTTGGCCAAGTAATAACTGTTGAGAAAGGCTTGTAGCCTCCTCAAATGCCGATGGTTCATGGTTTCTGTGGTGGAGCGGACGAAACTACCAGTGATGCGCACAGGCTTCGAAGATCTTGGTTTGCCACCAAGAGTAGAACTTGGACCCACCGATGACAGCACTGCTTCCATGGTGGGCGAATCTGCATGCTCTGCATGCTCTGCGCTCGACTCCATGACGGAAAATGGGGACTGCTGGGCTCATGCGTGTTTTGCACGAACTTGAGCCAAACTCAGGGTAAGAGCATGTGAATGTCAAACAGAACTTATTCTCAGGACTCCGAGTCCTGACCTCAGACGAGGGCTTTCTCTGAAGAGGAGCACGAGCCCTGAAACATTGCGTAGCTTCAAAATCATTGCAACCCCCTCCAACCTATTTCTGAGGGCGGCGCTGACACGGAAACTACAGATCTGCAATTCGAAGCTGGGAGGCACAAGTCTCGGTTCCCAAAGGAGCCATTGGAAATCTGGAAACACTGCATGAAAACATCCTGTACCTCGCATTTAACATAGAAGCGAAAAACACGCGTTGAATTACCTCCTAAAAACTAACTCGAATTGTTAACTGATGAATTAGCAAACTCTGGAGCCGACAACAACCTAGAGCGTGCCATGTCAAATGACAACTTCTTGATGGTGACACAGTTGCGCATTGTCATACTTACCAGGGCATGCGGCTAAGCCTCAAGGTAAACAAAGATACAGAATCCCGAACATGCACATGACTTCAACGGACAAGGGCTCGGATTAACCTTGTATAGCGCCTTCTCATCTCAATGAAAAACGTGCATCTCAAATATTGTTTGGAAGTTCTGAACACCAATCTCGATCATCAAGGCATGCAAGCACACTCCGGCGACATCTGGAATCGGGTGCACACGCATCGGAGCTCGAGCATCATACCTCACTTCAGAGAATGCGAGACATCACTTGTGATGTCCGCTTTATCCCTCGTTGCGTGGGCAGGTGGGTAAGCGAAAAAACCTCACACATCTCTTCTCAAGCCCAATGCAAGCAATGCTGTGCGACTCGGCTGAGTGAGCGCGTCAAATGTAGTATATTCATGAAAAACATGAGGCTCCCAACAAGACTGCAAACAACAGGCACGTTTGATTTGTTTATCGAAACAAAATCATTTTCATTTTGTAAATACTGTCCATCCTTTCAGAACAAAGCTCTTTTTCATCTCAGTGAAAAACGCGTGCATCTCAAACATTGCTGAGAAATTCAGAAAACTCAAGTTCTATCATCAAAGCACGCACGTACACGCGGCCTCTTTTCGCCGACATTTGGAAATGGTGCCTCAGGGGACCATTGATTGCATCGGCCACGTGTTGCGCAGTCGCGTGGGAAGACGGATTTGCAAGAAAATGTGAAGCAAATCCTTGCAAAGAACCGAAACACATCAGGGACATTTGTCCGGAGGAGGCAATGCCACGCCCGTCTTGTGTTGCCCGGGGAAAAGGCTCCATGGAAAACAAGGGAGAACGGCTTGCACAGGCTGCGTCGTCAGTACTGGTGGAAACTCAGCCGTAACAATACTTCGTGCACACAGATATGTTTTTCAAATTTGTGTACAATATATTACAGAATTATGTATGCAACTCTGTGTAGATACGAGCGAAATCGCTCTGTGTGTGTGTGTTGTCCTTCGGTGGTTCTCGCCTGGGCCCCCGGTTGCCTCCCCCTCTTCAGGGTCTAGCAAATGGATGCACTGAATGTGCTGGCTCCGACTCCTGGTGGGCGTGTACATTGGTGGCTCTTGCTGTGTGGGTACCTCCGCACAGCCTTCACAAGGGAGCCGAGTTACGGCCCCTGCAAGGCTTGTCAGTCGGGGACTTGCCAAAGAGTCTCATTGACGCAGAGCGTGCAATGCTCGAGACCTCGTGGCACATGGTGTGACAAATGTATGATTTCGGAGTCTTCACGCAGAAATGCCTTCATGCCTTCATACCTATCTTGGAGTATAACTGCGAACTTCAAAATCTGCAGCATCGCGTTCAGGTTGCATGGAGCGCCTTCTGGAGACTGTACAGTGTGCTTAGATGCCGCTCGCCTGTGCCTGCACACCAAAGCGCGGCTCGGAAAGTCCTGTATTTAGTGCCCTCCGCTGCTCGCTCGCCAGTGCAGCCACCGCAGGGAAGAAGGTTGGTTGGTATTGCTGCGCATAGGCAGCTTAGGCTCATTCTCAAGTCTCCCAGACACTTGCATCACACCACGAAGGCTGACGTTCGCCAACGGAGTGCGATGATCCATGGACCTTGTTGCAAAAAGATTTTATGCGCAGGATTGAAACGGCCCCAGTTTGTGGGACGCCGCAGATGGTTGAATGGCGCCAGCAGCTGGCCCACTTGGGCGAGCAGACTGAATGGGCCACACTGACGAGCTCTCGAGCACTAGTCGTACCCTCCTTGCTCCAATAACCCTATTCCGCCTGCACGCCGCCCAGAAGTTAGCGCTGTTGCATGTGCTGGCAATGGCTTGCTGAATCCCCTGCAGAAGCACACCATTGCCAAACATGCTAAGTGCGTGCTCCCGAATCTGTAAAACTTCTTAACCTAAAGACACAGACAAGCAGACTGCCGTGACTGTCGCTTGTGGCACACTCAGCAGAGAAGACAGGTAAGCTGCGTGCCTCTCGTGTTCTTTCTCTTCTTCAGCTCGTCTTGAGCCAAAGTTAAAAGTTAGTCGGCAAGCGCCTGACTTTCCTAAGCACATGCCAAAAGCAGCTTCCTCAAGCTGCAGCACTGCTTCCACGCTTGCAAATGCTACTTGTACACAGTACAAAACTCTCTTCAAACGTGTCGCAAAAATCATCGTAGTGCAGAGAAAACATGCAAAAACTGCTTCATGCTGCTGCTAAGCACATGCTACTAGGTTCACATGCTCACATGTCCTCGCCACAGCTCACTGCACATGAAAATGGTCGAAGACATCCCACGGTTTGCGAGAGTTGGTGTAATCACATACACAGCACAGAAAAACCACGCCAACACATATGGCCCGACATAGTGTTTCTGCAAAGCGAAGATCCCAATAGAGATACAGGAATGTGCCTCCAGATGTTCATCTTCCCTTGCACCAAATCATCCCGCAGTAGTCGTGACAATATTCCATACCCCCTTTCGGGGTGATTTGAAGATCATCTCCACGCTGGCCGCTGCTTCACAACAGCTGTAGTTGTGACATCATATCGAAAAGCAGCCACCAAAAACCACTATATTGCCCAAGAGCCATACCCATCCCAGATGCCTGCATATCACTCAAGCAGTCGGGGACGAATCCAGCAATCTGCACATGGGCAAAGTCCATGGATCCTGGAATTCTTCTGTTGCACATGCTTGCACCCCTCGAGATGGTACTTGCCACCATGCTTCGAGAGATAGATTGTTGATGCTGAATCTGCAACGGCTTTGCAAACTCCACATGGCAGCACACTCCTGATAAGGTCAGGATTGCTCGACTGCTTTGTTGCACAGTCTCATGTTCTGTGGAAGCTAACAGTCTCATCATCATCCAGAAAGATCTCATAGAGGTGGCGATTCCGAAAGAAGACCCCATCAGGTTGCTCCCTGACCGCTTCAGCTACACTCTTTGCCTTTGCCTTCGGCATAGCCTTTGATCTTCCCAAGTTAGACTTTGGCGGCTTCCTCTCGGAACCTTCATCCTCAGTCACCACTCTGACTGTAATCATAAAAGGTCGAATGCAGACTGTAGTGGCAAATGCTCCAAGCAGCATTCCCATCACAAGAATAGCAGTGCAAAAGATCGTAAACTCATCCATGGCTTCGCGAGGACTAAAAACTCAAGGTTACAAGACAGTGCTCTGAAGCGCCAGTCACGTCGAAAGACGACCAGAACACAAGACAAAAAAATCCGCCACATGATTTAAAATCATGTACGCTTCCAGAAGAGGACGATGCACAAGAACTTAAAAGGATTGCATGGCCTGAATGATACCTCGCGCCAACCTTTGGTTGTAGTACCCTGTGCGATGCCAATCCGTATCCCCAAACGTAGCATGTCTCACACAGCTGCATGTCCCAAACGTCAAGTGAAGCTTTCGCGCAAACATGGGCTCTGACGACATGAACCGCAACTGTTTTCCAACGGGAAGACCGGATCGACCTTTCATGCCGGTTCTGCACAGGTGGACATGACACTGGTGAAAAAGACGAGCCTTTGACAACGTTCTCTGAGTCCCAAATCTGTTCCATATGGTGTTATATCTGGGTAATTCGAATGAGCACGCGTCTCCAAGGCTGAGATAGTGCACTGCCGACCTCATCATGCTATCCCACGCAACATCAGCAGGCGAAGGCTCGCAAATCTTCGTGAAGTTCTTTAGCGGGGATCCTGCCGAGCAAGGGGTAGACAGGTGAATCTGCACCCACCGTCCACAAGCATGCCACTTCCTCACCATGTCACCAGCCTGGTTGTACACATGACGTTCTTGCATGCTTTGAACCACACCTGCATACGGAATGTTCTGTCGACGACACTCCTGCGCAAGTTCAGAGTCCACTGAGCAACACACTTCAAGTAGTGCAACATGGGCTTCCTGGCGCACATCAATCCTGCCACGCTGCAACGACAACTCAAACAGGCTCTCTGCTGGATTATCGCGCACAGTCACAAAACCCAATCGACTTCGGTGCAGGTTAAGCAAGGCGGCGGTGACGTTTAGTGAAGATATCAGCAGGATTCAAGGTCCCTCTGATCCATTCCAGGCGTACTTCCCCCGAGGCCATCTTAGACCTCATCCACTGAAGGCGTATTTCAACGTGCCTGGACCTCCTCGGGAGGTCCTGACCATTCAAGAGGTCGATGGCAGCTTGACTGTCACTGATCAAGTCAGTAACAAGCCGAGTGCCTTCCCATTCACTCGCCGCCTCATCCTCTATCCAATCGCCAACATGAGCCTGACTTGTGATGGTCACAGTGGCTCCATCCAAGCTTGACAGTACTCTTTCAAGCTGTAAAGTAAGCCCAACGCTCTCTTGACACATGTACTGCAAAGCATGAAGTTCAGCCTTGCAAGATGACAAGGAAACCACTCCCTGAACTTTTGCAACAGTTTGAATCAGACATCCAGCATAGCACATGGCTCCACCAGAGACCCTCTTTCTCCCTAAGTATCGGCATGGCGCATGAGAAGCGTCAGTGAAGATATGAAGGTGTGTTCGCAGGTGGTCTTCGGGACATGCCAAGAAATGTGCATCGAGTTCCGGTGATGGCAACTGAAGAACGAGATCCCTATCCTCAAATAGGAATCTCAGGAGAGCTCGCAATCCGGACTCAGTGGCCTGAGTGGGTGCTGCCTGTCTTTTGTGCCAACCACAGGATTAGCCTAGCGCCCGACGGAATCGTGGTATGACTCAGATGTAAGCGGCTTACTGGTAGGAGATTCTTCAAGCATCGAGGCGATGTTTGGATATGCATTGGATCCCTTCTTGATTTAATAGGCTTCCCAGCAAGGCACAAGGTAGTCTGTACGAACGAACACCTCAATCGACTTGCAATTTGGCCACCTTCGAATGGTACGGCCGATGAAGGTGATAGAACCCCCACCACTCATGTCTTTAAGCACTCTTCCTATGATCTTCACTGGCACACGATGCTGACTTGCGAAAATAATGCGCCCTTCGATGGACTCACCATCGGAGACAATCAGAATGTCATTTTTTTTTGGACCGACGCCTCTTTACTACATCAGCAGCGCAGTAGGCCGTTCTTGTGGGTCTCAACACTAGGGGTGAAACAGAGCAGGTGCGAAAACCAAAGCAAAAACACACCAAAACCACCACAAAACACAACCACCAAAACCCGCAGCAACCCGCAAAACCAAGGCACCAAACGTCTATGTGTCCCCCGCGCTCAGTACTCGAGGTCGTCGCAGAAATCCAGGTGTAATCGAGCAGCGCAGAGCATGCGGGGGGGTCGCAAAATGCGAGATTTGCCAGATCATCATAACCACCATCATGAAGCCACTGGCGCAACGAAGGTTAGCACGGAAAGCTGTAAATCGAAGAAGGACAGCAAAGTTACCGACCGACACGGCCAGGTACCAGGCAGACAGTCGCGGAAAGGGAAGGTACAAATTGGCCAACTTTCCCAGAGAAGAAGCAAGGCCAGCACGCGCCCCATGGTGGGACAGTGGAACTTGTTAGCAAGAACAACGGATGCAAGACCAGCACAGGGCACTTCATAGGTCAGCCAGTGAAACAGCCCCGAGCAACAGCCGACACAACTTGCGGCTCTGTTATTGAAGCCCGGCCTTTCCGAACATTCAGGCGCACAACTGTGTCTGACCACATTCCCAAGCAGAAACTGGGGCCGCAGTCAGCAAGGGCCCTCCAAGCCCAGCACCCCATGCTGGTTAGCCAGTGGAGCAACCCCGAGCAACAGCCAACACAATGCGATTTCGCAAATTGGAAGACCAACCCGGAGTTCCCAACATCCAGGCGCACCAGCCCGGCCACAGTGGAACCTGGGGCAGTGTCAGCAGAATCCTCGTTTCCCAGAAAGGAAACCTGCAAAGAACTATTCAGAGGGAAGAGACTGCCATACAGCAGTCAAACCTTACTCCGGCCCGCACTTCATTGCCATGGACCCTTCCAATTGGGGTGTCTTGGACGATACCGTGCGATTACCTGTTTTTTTGGCCTTTATGCTAACTCCGAAATAGCTGTTGGCGGATCAGCGGCGGTTGTATTGCGGGGCAACAGGCTGCAACTCCTTCTTATCAACTTCCACGCAGAGATGCCAGTCGGAATGGTACTCCTACATGTTGTGCCTGGTGGCTTTGGCTGAATGCCACATCGTCCGAATAGCCTTCTAAACTTGCCAATACTGCACAGCACCTTCGTCCCGGAACTGGAAGGGAAAGGTGGAGGGCCGAGAGCTTGGGATTGCCGTGGCAGGACATTTTATACTAAAAGCTGTTAAGGCGTTACTTGGTTGCTTGGATTGGGTAAGCCCCTTAAGGGCTGTCCCAATTATGCACCTGAGCTTTGAATTTGTCTGCCTCTTAGGTGCTCTGCATATAGGTGCAGAAGTCTTCTTAGTGTCAGAAGAGATGCAACACACCTCCAAGAGGGCCTGTGGCGCATGTCAGACCACTCCAAATTGTGGACGGACCAGAAGTTTTTAATGGTTTGATTGCAACAGAGAAGCGAGGACCTGCCAAATAACATTAAGGAAGTGAACTGGTGGTACACCTGACCTAAATTCTTGATAATGCCCATGCGTCGTCAAATAAATCGAATCACGCAAGCGTGGGGTCTGGGCTTTACGCTTCCCAACGATGTTCCGCTTGAGCGCACGCCAAATAAGCGCGCAAACAGAATTTCCATGTAGACTTATTGCTCGAAGTCCTTCAATCACGGGCGCTGCCTTTTGCTGTCGCCTTTGAGTCTTGCCAAGGGGACAAGCAGCGGGCTGCCTGTAGTCTTGGGCTTTTCTAAGACGGGGGGGAATGCAATTACAATGTGCCTGCTGCAGCCATGGTCCGTGTTCTCGGTGGACCCCCAAGGACTTTCCCAAGTCCACGGACAGGCATCAAAGGCCTGAGCGGAGGCTTCCAAGCACACAAATCTGGAAACTGCCAGGTGAACAGCAACCTAGCTTAATGTGTTTTGTCCGGATTTCGCTTTAAGGCTTGCAAACACTGGAACTGTACTGTAGGACCCATGAAGAGTTGCTGCTGCACTTGCCACCAGCTCCAGAACCGGACATCTGGGCATTGCAGACCCTTCTCCATTTGCCACCTTCCCGGGGCCTTCTTTGCGGCTAGGGGAGTCAGTGGTCTGGGTCAGGCCCGGGAAGGTACAAAGGCCTTGTCCGCTACTGGCAGGCTTGGTGCAGGGTGATCTTGATGCATCTCTAGCTCCGCTCCGCTTGCAAGAAGCTATGCGCAATGGTCAAGCTTGGAGCCATGCAAGAATAATACATTTCTCAGCGTACCATCACAGGCTTGCCAAGCTTGTTTTTGGCACTGCCATACTGTACTGGCACTTTCCGCGGGCACAGAGCTGTTTCCGGAGATCAGAATTGAGTTGGCCAGCCCGCAGAAGGCGAAGGCCTTGTAAAGCTTGCACGCAAGTAAACCGCGTTGGTAGCTCCAGAACAAATCCACACGCCTGTGAAGTTGGATGTGTAGAAGAGGGGACGTCTTCAGACTTGAGCGCGCGGTGCAAAACCACGTGCTTCTTGCCCCATGTCAAGAGGTGGCGTTCCAAAAAGATCAACCCTGCAATCTGTAACACTGCTTCCACCCGTTGCTTCGCAAGACACTAAAGGTGGGACCAATGGTACAGACAGAGACAATCAGAATGTTATTCACGCAGCAGAGCACAAGAGCTCGAGAACAGAGTTCACGATTATTACTGAACAATCTTGGAGGTTCAATCCGCTAGAAAGGCGATCAGCAACAAGAAAGCGGCGCATTAACCAAGCCAAGAGTGAAGTTTCAGCACAATTCGAACAGGTTAGTGATCTTCTTACACATGCCTTTGAACAGTTTTCGGGCTGTAGGAAAATACGACAATAGACAACCGACTTGGCTGAGAAAACTGCCAGATCAGTGGAAACTGTACATGCCCAAAATTACACGCCAACAAAAGCAAGCAACTTGCCTCTGACCCAAATAATGACTTGGTGAATGTCCGAACCATGAAGTTTTCGAAGATCGGCTTCGAATTTCTCCCTGTCGAGAAACGGTTTGTCGTCAAGCCGCATTGTCAAGAAAAGCGAACCAGCCTTGTTTGGCACGTCTCTGTCGAA